ATACTACAGCAACTAGTGGATATACCCTGTGAGATTCTAGGGAGTGGCTATCCTGAACCTCTTTCGCTTCCCTCGCTCCTCCTGAGGACTATGCTGCCTCTTGCCTCCTCCTCCTCCCTCCTGGAATGCACCCCTCCCTTCCCGATAGCCCTGATCTCCCACATCACTCTCCTCCTCGTAGATACATTCCATCACAACAATGTACAATTAGATTTTTTTTACTGGACTTCAATATTTAAGGAAAGTTATAAAATAAAAAAAAACACGAAACAGAGTATTTGTAGTGGCATGGTACTGCTGAGAAGTCTTCTCCATTTTCTTTTAATAATTTTAAAAGGGATAAATGAAGATGTTTCAGATAATAACTAGAGATTTCTCATTCAAACTCCTTCCAATTTGAAACACCCCATTTCAAGTTTGAAGTGCCTCGCTTCAATTGCAAAATAGCTGTTTCAAGTGTAAAACAGGCTGTCTATCATTTGGAAGTGTTTCAAGCTCAAACAAAGCTCAAAACTTGTTTAAACTTGATGCTCTTTTAAAATGATGAGGTGTTTTGAATTAGAAAAAGGTTGAATTAGAAATGCTCTGCATATCTCTAACAATAACCAAGCTTAAAACCAGGATGAATTGGCACAAAATACCGAAGAATCTCATGGCACCATGAAGACTAACTTTATTGTGCATATTTTTTGTGGGCCATACTTCATTTTGCCAGATGTACATGCTACAAAGGTCCTTGACATATTTGCTGTAACAGAGCAGCACTGTTATCTCCTTGGAAGATGGTTTCAATTATTACTTCAGAATGTAAACACATCACACTGTTGTTTAAGGGCTGAAAACTAATTCTGGCTTTTCCCCAGCTACTGCTTACACATGTATCAAAATCTTTAAAAAAGAAAAAAAAAACTAGTTTTCACTAGAGATCACAATGGGATAGATATAGAGAGGGAGGGAGGGAATATCGTCTACAATACTGAATAACTTTTAGAAAAGTATTGGAAGCAACGGAGTTGCAAGGAAGGAGACAATCAGCCCAAACCATGTCCTTTTCTCTTCCATAAATAACTGGATTTTTCACAGTGAAACTCCAACCCTAGTTGGGATCCAAATGCCCTCACAGTATACAACAAAGTAAGCTTTAGACTGGATTCAAAAAGAGGTAAGTTGATTGCAGACCTCAAATTCTATTAACGTTTAATTTAATTTAACTCTAATTTTAAAATATTTTGTCTTTTAAAAGTTACTGACCTCTCTTGCCCGAATGGGACATAAGTGGAAAACTGCCTGTTAAAATACTTTGAAAGACAGGGTCAGGCATCTCTTTCTCCAGTCCTGCTGAATCTTCCTTTTCCCACCAAGGAATAATTCCAGTAATTCCACACGCACCTCCAGGTTCACTTTCATGGAACCAGTCACTTTGCTCATCATCACCTATAACAAACATTTTATGTTTTTTTTAAAAAAAGATATATTAAAGTTTATTATCTCCCCAAATGTATCATCTGTAATAAGAATTATTTCTTCTTTCTCTTCTATATTGTATTTTCTTTGGCAGCATAACTCTAACTGGGAATTCTCATTTACTAGCATGAGATTCAAAGGAAACAAAATCCTCTTCTTGCAACTCATTTAAAAATGTGAGAAATAATTTAAAAACCTAATATTTTAGTGATAACAGCAGGCAAATCTATTTAAGTTAGTGTGGTTTCAACATTAATAAAACAAACTCTAATCCCCTGTAGGGAATTAAAAAAGTATAAAACTGTGGAACCAGTTGTTTGCAGATTATAGTCATATATAATTAACTTAATTTTATGATCTGTGTGGTACATAAAAGGAGGAAACAATCATAAACAGGTGTGACCAAATAAAATTAATTTTATTAAGGTTAATTAAGAAATAAGTTTTGAAAAAGTTGTTTTCAAATGAAAGATGACAGCTTCACAGAAACATTGAGTATCCAGGGATATTTTAAGGGTTCCTAGAAACTAAAAATTCAGAAGAAAATCACAAGTATGCCCTTCACAAAATTATCTTTGTTAGAACATGGTTTATTTTCCATGTAGGGCCAATGGCTGGAGTGATACAACTGGTAAAAGGGGTGTCAGAGATGCCATCCTGGACAAGCAGCCACTTGAAGTAAGGATTTTTTGCCTGGCTGATAGCAACATATTTTCAGTATCACTATGAGGAAGTACGACCCCAGAATGGACATATAATAAAGTTTTTAGTTTCCTGCCTTTCAGTAGTAATATGGGAATATCTGAAGTTACCCTTCTCCTCACAAGAATTCATCCCAAAGTCTGCCTGAGCACACTAAGAAAGCAGTCAATGACTCAGATGCAGCTTGATCAAAATCTCTTTTCTGAGATTTATATCCAGATTTGCTTTTTCATTTGTTTGCTTGATTTATTGTTAAAGAAAATGTGCATTAATTTGTTCTCAATGAGGATAAACAAGATGAAAAGATAAATGGTAAAAGTTATCCTTGATATAAAAGAGATGGTAAAACAATTCAAGCATTTTTGGTATCTGACACAATGGAGATCCAGATTACCCAAAAGCGAAAACTATGCTGCGTAGTTTTCACCCTATAAAGAGAAAGGATGTAATTTTTGCCAATTCCAGTTTCTGCCTGCAATCTTGCCAGCCTTAGTCCCCTGAATAAGTTGTTTTGAAAGCTTAATGTACAGAATGGGAGTGGGACAGGATTAAGTAAAATTGTATCTTATGCCTGACTGCTTTGGCTGCTTTTGCTAATTAACTAATATACTGTAGAGTGCTGCCAGCAAGCCACAGTCCTGACACTAGGAAGCTTGCCCCAGAAGAGGCACAGGCCATGCACCTTGCCCAGCCTGGCACCTAGCTAGTTGCTAACTTCCTAGACAAACTGTCCTGGCATCTTATGAAACCCTGTGATGAAGCAGTAATAATCCTAAAATCTCAGTAACTACGCTTACATACCACAGTAAGCCAATACTAAACATTCTCCCATGCAAATGCATTCTCTCTGTGCTTTACCATTTTTAATAGTCCTTCACTGATAGACAAGCATTCTTGGACAACCAGAGATATCACAAGAGAGAGAGGAAAAAAGAACTTCCATATTAACTAGCTCAATGTCAAAGGAACATAAACATGAATAAACCCCATCTTGTTATGACAGTCAGAGAATGAAAAATATTGCATGTTCACTGATCACAACTAAATAGAGAAATTCCTATTTACTGCAACACAGTCTTAAATTGAAAATATTATCTTTGAGTACTAATTAAATTAATTCTTTGGGACCATGAAAAAATATATAATTTAAAATGTAAACATCTCTTTAAATTCAGTCATGATGAAAAAGAAGAGTACATTTGGACTAAAGTGTCCTTAATGAAACTATAAAAATAAAACACAATGCTTGTATCAAGACTTCAGTTCCAATTCTGTTACATAAATTTCAGCAGCTAAGAATATTTTAGAATCAGATCACCGCCAGGACAATTCTTGTCCATATTCGGGCATTTAGAGCATTGGATTATATTATAGCACCACATTACATAATATCAGGAGTCAGAAAATGATGACTGTAGTTTAATAATTGTTCTCTTCTTCTTAAAAACCAATCAACCAAAACATTACACCATGATGTTTTAGGCTTCATATAAAATTTTATCAGAAAGAATCCTATGTTTATTTTATAGGAATTGAATGAATTGTGCTATTGCCTCAAACTCTAAAGATAAAATAATGTCATGTTTAAAATAAAAACAGAACAAAACACATACCCCAACAAACCAGATTTTCTATATAATGTGTTTTTAAGTAAAAATCAAAAACTGGAATATAGATAATCTGCTTATGTAGTATACAAAAACTTAACCTGATACATTTCTTAAAAATGTTTCAATACCTTGTCTTCCCTCATCATTGGTAAACAAACCAGCATCACTGCTGCTGAGGCTGCTCGATTCACTGTGATAATAGGGAAAAAGAAAAGATCAGAAGTACAATTGATATCTCAGTCATAAAATTTTAAACAGACAAGATTGCACTCAGATGAAACTTAAGCCTTAACAAAATCTAAAAGAAAATAGGATAATATAAAAAAAGAAAGAAATATCAAACTGCAAATATCACTGTTCCATTAACTACAGAACATATTATTTTTGGCACATAAAACCACAGGAATCTAATGGGACCCTGACAGTAAGCCAGATGTGACTGCAATGAGGTGCTGACACAATTGATGCATTTTATTATCTGTTTCCATCAAATGTTCACTGTTCCTTTCTTATGCTGTGCTATTCAGCTTGATCCTAAAACCATTGCTCAGGTGTTTTTTTTTTTTAAAAGGGATAGGAATAAAGGGGGGAACCTGAGTCAAAACTATTCCAGGTTTTCTTTGTTGCATGAAACGTAAGTATCCCAAGTCAGAATACCTATTCTTAACATTTGGAAATATTATTCAATGTAATTCTATTATTTAATTTAAAAAAAGAACATTTATACAATGCTGTCTTTTTAAATCAAAGTGAAAGGCTTCTTGAGAAAAATAAGAATGATAAATATAACAGCAGAAAAAAAATACAAATTGCCTTTGTTTCTTTCCAATTGAGTTTGTATCTCACACTGTATTTTTATATTTATCATCCAAATGTTTCAGATGTATAAGTAAAAAATGCACATATTCAGATTTAATATTATGAGCCCTTGATATAGGAGCATCAGAAATCTGAATAAGCAAGCAATGCCCAAACATTTCTATCATTAAGCAGTCCTGAGTTTTAAAATATATCAGAATATCACTACAACAATGATGAAATATACTGTTTTACACAAATAATAATTTTTCTAAAAGAGATAAAAGATTAAAATCCTGCAGTAATTTGAAGTACACTTTTTATTTGGAATGTAATCTTGATTATCAAAAGGACACCTTTTCATTTGCAGTGAATTTTCACTTCTCTATGGCTGAGGTTAATTCCCATCTATTTATGAATCCTATAGAGAATAATTTTACTGTAACTATAATATTAAACCAAGTCCACTGACTTAGTATCAGTAATTTAATACAAACTAATCCTAAATCTGAAATGAAGCATAAGTATCATTTCCTGTGATTACTTGTGTGTACATCTTTCCAGTAGTAGTTCTACTATTGTAGAATGCCTTCCCTGGAAAACTGCACTAGGATATATTTTACCAACTTTTTTTTTCAGTTTTTAAACTTACTATTGCTACTTATTTTAAAGTTATATCTTTGAACTGGGTTATCTCGTGGATTTTTAGCAATTTTTGGTGCCTATAAATCTGAAATGAAGCATAAGTATCATTTCCTGTGATTACTTGTGTGTACATCTTTCCAGTAGTAGTTCTACTATTGTAGAATGCCTTCCCTGGAAAACTGCACTAGGATATATTTTACCAACTTTTTTTTTCAGTTTTTAAACTTACTATTGCTACTTATTTTAAAGTTATATCTTTGAACTGGGTTATCTCGTGGATTTTTAGCAATTTTTGGTGCCTATTTTTCCTGATGAATTCGTTTTCTTTATTTTAAAGTGTGCTTATAAGGTTTTAAAATTTTATTGTACATAATTGGATGCTATTGTTTTACATACATTTTGCTGTGGGCTCACTCAGTTAAACCCGTGTTCTTTTACTTGCCAAATTGCAAAAGAAATGCTGCGAATTTCATCAATTCTGGTAAAGATTTGGAAGTTGTTAATAATCCTAAAAACTCCTCATCTGTGTTCAGTAACATTCACCCCTCCAAAAAAGGTTTCATTGATTATAAATTAGAAATTAGTATAGTTTAGGACTGCAGAGAAGCAGGTGACAGTTATAATCAGGAAAGAATTCTGATCATACCTAGAAGGGATTCAGCAATCATCCACTCATCACATCTAGCCAGAACTGATTGCAATGCTTTCTGCAATAATAAGGATTGGACTTAAAAACCATCAAAAGCTTTACAATGCCAATTTGCTTAATAAGTGTATAATTGTGCAATCACATGACTGTAACTATGGAGGGAACTGCTGGTTCTCTCTGCTGGTGCTAATTTATAAAGTCCTTAAGCAGTAAGTTTGGTTTTCACGTAAGTTAAAAATGCTTCTCAATATTTCGGTGTGTCATGTGTCCACCGATATTACCTATGACAGCTCTATATCAAAAATGTTAAGCAGAACATGAACAACATTTGCCATGAAAACATCAAATTAGAAATTTTTATAAATGCCTATGGAGTTTTTTCTACCAAGATTTTTAAAGAAGGCCTTTCAGAGTTCTTCAGTGGTTATTTTAAAGTTTTGTTCATACAATTATTTGGCAATTTTTATTGTATACAACAGTTAGGAATGCTGAAAATTGTTTATAACCAGTCAACCTATTGATCCATTTACCTCTGTTAGGGCAGAAATTGACTTGCATTGGTTTTCAAGGTTTTAGGCATATTTTTTTTCCAACCTCTATTTAAGAGGCCAGGGACTGAATCTGGCTTGCCAAGCACATGCTACACCATTGAGCTGCACCCCATTCCCAAGCTGTTATTAGTTATTAAATGTCTTTGTTTCCCTTACTAAAGGGAAGAGGAGGCAAATGTTTCAGTAAGTAACTACAACTATTGTAGGATGAAAGTTCTTAGCAATGAAAGGGTATTTTACCAGAAAGCTTAAAAGGGAAAAGTATGAACACAGTGTAGAGATACACAACTTTATTCACACTGGAAAAAAATATAAATTGTTAATTAAAAATGTATATATTATCATCCCACCCAACTTCTCATCTTCAAAAAATGGTAAATGGCTATAGATTGTGGAAAATTTTTAAATCTACTTCCTTGACCATCTTCTGTTCTTCAGGTTACTATTTATATGTATAGAGCCACCACAATGTTCACCTTCCATCCTTATCCTGAAATTAGCTTACTGATATTCCAGCAAAGAGCCTCTGAAAACAGGCTTCTTGCCAATTTATCTCTTCCCAGGAAAAAGATGGAAATTCATCAATAAAGTATCTTTAAAGGCAGAGGCATATAGATGGTTATTTCAAAAACTCATTTCAACACCTAATAACCTTAACACTAAATGTAAACCTGAGTTATCAAACACACAGAAGGAAAAGGGGAAATAAATAGATTAAAAAAACCCATAATCTAGAACTTGCTACCAGCATAGAGCAAGTGGAAATCTGGTTTGAAAAACACTATGATGTATCACCCAGGAATAGTTATGGCAGTGAAAAACAGAAGTCATTTTTATTTTAATATTTTTCAACTTACGAATTCTTTTTTAAATATGACTTAGTTGGGAGAGGAAAAAGTATTCAGGATTGTGAATGCCTTTTGTTTAAAAGAAATTTAAAAATCTGCAATGAGGTATTCTGAAAAGAAAACAAACAACAGTATTCTATTAACTTTATAAATTCATAATTTTCTTAATTAAAATTTGAAATATTTGCCCTTTTCCTCTCATTATATTTTAACATATGTCATGACACATGGGAAAAAATGACAAGGCTGAATTTATTTTACTGAAATCCTCTGCATATTTGTTTGACAATAAGTACCACTGACCTCTAAGATTTACTTACAAATTAGGCCAAATAGGATAGCATTGCACATGAATTTAACCTATGTATTTTTGAGGCAAAAGATTAATGCACAACAGCAGCAAGACTTTAAACAATTTTAAATAGTTCAACTTTGGCAGTACTGTATACTACAAAATCATCACTATATTTGATCCTGAAGCAAAATAAAATATTTTAACATAAATAAGAACAGCACCACAGTAATCTAAATTTCATAATTAAAAGAAAAACTAAAAACAACCTGTCACTCATGTTTTCATCTGAACCCTTTTGCTCTTCATACTCCATTTTATCCTTGTTTGCAGGATTGATTTCATCATTCTCTATGACCACACCTTCATCCAAAATGTCTGGGCCTTGCCTATTTGCTGCTAGTTTTCTTTTTTTTACTTTACTCTTTGATAGTTCTTGATGTAGGCAAGATTTGTTGTCATTGTCCATTTCCTGATCCTTAATGTTATCTTGTTGGGGCAATGTAATTTTGTTTGTTACTTCAGAAGGTAGATCAATTGCCATCCGTTTCACCTTTCGACGTCTACGCAGAGTCCTGTTACCTAAATTGTCAACGGCTAGATCAGGTTCATGCCAGAGAGGTCTTTTGCCTCTTAAGTTATTTAAATTTGAACTTGGTCTGCGTTTTGCAACCAACAGTTGGTCATCCGAATCACTATGGTCTTTCTTATTGGCAGCATAGTTCTCTCGATAATCCTTGTTTGGCTCCTCAAGGCTGGAATCAGAACCTTCACTTAAACAATGTCCAGTCTCCCAGGGATGATGTGAATTAAATGAACGTCTTTTCCTTCCCCTTCTCTTTCGAGCCTGGCGTTTTAGAAGACATGAGATGCTGCGAGAATGATCGCCTGTATCTGCAAAACCACCTCTTGCTTGCTCTGAACTTTCCTCCAGTGCAGAGACTAGATCGTGAACTAGCTCCTCCATAGCCTTACTGAAATGCCTGTAAATAGGAAAAAAATCAATTCCTAATTAATATCCTATTATAGTGCCTATTTTAGCAAAATAGCTCAGTGAAAGGGCTATTCCTTCCCCCATAAGGTACTAGAAAAGACAGCATCTTTGCTCACTTTATGTGGAACTTTGGAATTGGTGGTACTACAGTGCTGACTCTCTTCACCTAACCATTTACCTACAAGACGGTGGGTAATACAGGAATAATCCACCGCTCTCACTCCCTTTTTTCTTATGCAAAACCCTACAAGAGCAAAACAATATCTTGCCTTCCTCTGAGTCCTCAGGGTAAGACATATAATACAGCATTATAATTTGTGAAAAGCTTTTGCGGAAGTTACTTGTATTATTTCTACCTTTTCAAGAACAAGAGGCAGACAGACACCCAAATTTGCAGAAAAGTATATTCAGGGAAAGGAAGGATTCAATAGTAATCATAGATAACTAGAGCAAAAAATTGTTAACAGAAAATCTCCAGAATAAAATATCACAAAATAATTCTTATGATGCTTCATGTTTCCTAGACAAACTTAACAAAAACATAACAACACACAATTTTAATATGTTAATATTTGTACCAGAGAACAATCTATTTAGTTGGTAAGGTACCAATTTAGCACAATGATTAAAGAAAGCCCTACTAATGTTCATATGCTATAATTTCATTTCTGACCTCATACTGAAAATCAGTATCAGAAAAGAATTCAAAACACAAAGGTAGGGAACAGAATATGTTGCTTTAGTTTTACTTTATTCTAAGATATTATATGAAAAAGTTAGTTTTTTTTAAAATTTATATCCTGCCTTTTCAGGACCTTAAGGCAGCTTACATGGGGATTTCCTTTCATTTTAAGCCCACAACATGAGTATCTTTAAATAGTCTTCTATATGTATATAGATCAATTACACTTAATTTAATATTTCTTAAACATGGAATATCATTTAGGCCAATGCATTTAGAATATGTATTTTGTTCTGTTATCCATGTTGCTCAGTTGGACAATTTTTTGGGGCAGCAACCACAAACTGACTAACATCTGAACTAGCTAATAGTCTAATGCTTTTCAGACCACAAAAATCAATTACGCCTATATTTTAACATGTGAATGGTGTAATCCAAGAACAACAGAAGAGAGATAAAGTAGGGCTATAGGATAGATTTTTATAACATTCTTAATTATAATGAAAGAACAGTACAGCTCTGTACTGTACAATATAAAATAAATATGAGTATATATCAACAATAAAAATTGTGTAAATTTAGTTGAAATACCATCTACTTGCAGGTACCTGTTCTTATCCATGCAGTCTTATTCTTCAATCCTAATGTCTGCCCTACAGTTTGTGCAAGTAATGACATTGTTTGAAAAAAACCAGTAAAGCATGATATGCTTACGAGATAGGGCAATAAGCATTGTGAGTTACTCAACACCTTATTTTTGTTTCCAGTCTGAAGACAGTTGTTGAGAAATCCCATTAAAATCACTTTATTATGGATGTAGGAAGTACACTGGCTTGTTTGTCTCTTAAAGATACAACTTGAATCATATTGATGATATGGCATCAGCAGAAAGAAAGCTGTTGCATGTTGAAGGATAAAAAGAAAGAAGAATAAACTGTAACCAAAACCAAAATGTGAAGTAATATTGCTAATTTTTCAGTGTCTTGTTCTTTTACCCAGTTTACTAGTAATATCAATTCTAGTCCAGAAAATCTAGTATGTAAACTTTTTTTAAAAAATTATCTATAAATAGCATTTAAAATGAGAAAGTTATTTACACATCATATGTTAGCTTTACGATAGTTTAAGTTATACCTAATGAACTTCCCTCAAGCATCGTATATTTCATCTTTACTATGTTCTACATCATAAAACTGCCTGGAAATTCAGGATAAGTAATTATAGAAACACAAACAAAATTATTTTTTAAAAATGCATTTCAGTTAAAGTCAGAGTCTTTTAATACTGTATATGGTTTAAAAGGAAACAGAATAAGGTAAAGCTATTATTCTAATTATAAAATAGAGTAATATCTAACAAATTACGTGAAAGAAAAACAAGGACCTCCCCTCCCCAATAATACCTCTGAAGAGGGTGCAGGTTTGTCTTAACATTTGCCAAGAAAATGCTGTGGAATATAAACAGATGAGCAGGAGGTATAAATGACTGCAAGCACTGCTGCTTAAAAAGTGGATACTTCTGAGGATTAGCCTGAAAAGTGTGGATTACTTGAATATTAGACTAAACATTAACTACTGCCTGGGAGGAGCTGTTTTTTGTAATATCTAAACAGAGTTTTGCTCTTTTTTCCTTTTCAGTTCAGTTACCTCTTCTCATTTCCACATATCCAGCTTTGTTTTCCCTTCATTTCTTCTTTCCTGTAAAGCTACTTTTCTCCATATCTCATATATCTTTTTTCTTATTTGTTGTTTCTGCTTGAAGTTATACAAAATTCTCTCTGCGTGCATGTATTTGAATTTGTATGTACGATGGATAATGTTTAGTATACGCAGATGGAAGATCAATTAATTTTTATTTGCTTTTTTTCCCCAGGCAATTAAATTTTCATTGGTAGCTTTTAATTCACTCTCTCTCTCTCTCTTTTTTTTTTTGTCTGACCCTCTCCTTTTCTGGATTGTGGTTCCTGGCAGATAGATGAACACACATATAAGCATGTCACATGCATACATTTGTTAGGTAAGAGAATCAACAGAAAAGGTTTCAGTCAGGCTTAGCAATCCTACCCTGACAAGATGTGGGAAGCTGAATTTGACACAGATTTTTGCCTCCAATTTTATACACATATAAATATCCTGCCTACTCTTGCTTTGGGTAAGGGGGGACTATCTTATATTCAGTCATCTTCCTTTATGATAAATGCAGCACTTTTGAGATAAAGATTTAGAAGGAACACACAATTTATATAAGTCTCTACAGTTGGATGATGACAATGATGTTTTATTAGATAAATGGGCAGCTTACAGTTAGAAAATAGAAAATAATAAAGAAAAAATCCTGTTTGTCTAGACAACCACACACTACAGTATATACCAAAAAGCACAACAAACAAGTGCTCCACATGCACCCTACCCCAAGGCCTAGGAGAATAGCTAAGTTTTTAAAGACTTCTGGAACATCATCAGGTGAAAGCTACAGAGATCTCTGGGGGGACCTTATTTCAGAGGACAGATGCCGCAACAGAGAAAGCATGCTTCTTGGGTCCCAAGAGATGACACTGTTTGATCAAGGAAGCCCAAAGCACACCAACTCTGCCCCTTTTTACTGGACAGGCAGAAACCATGGGAGATAAGCAGTGCCTCAAATAACCTGGCTCTATGCTATCAAGGGCTTTATAGGTGATAACCAAAACCTTGAATTGCACCTAGACGTTCACCAGCAACCAGTGCATCTCACAGAGCAATGATGTTACATGGGCATACTGAAGCATAGCCAACACTGCTTGGGCCACTGCACTGGAGACCAGATGTAGCTTCTGAGTGGTCTTCATGGGCAGCACCATGTAATGGAGCTCATTACAACAATCCAATTGTGAAGTGATTAGGGCATAAGTGACCATCTGAAGGTTGCTTGGCCCCAGGTTCTTGCACTGAGCGAAGGGCTGGACTTGATAATCTAAATGTCCGTTTCCAACAAGACCATATATATCAGTTATTATTTGAGCTTCTGTTCAACACAATTATTCTTCATCATCTACGCTAGGCAAATGTAAGAGATTCCACTCTTCATTTCACCAGCATTATCACTAGTGACACTGAATAATTTTGTATTGCTTACTGCCCTTTAAAAAACAGTGAGTTTTGCAATATGTATGTTCATTCTCAAATTATAAAAGTATATACTAGCCAAAACAGAACAGTCATGATAAATAGTATAGCATAGAGGTTAAAGCATTTTCTGGAACTGAAGGAAACCCAGCTTCAAGTATGAACTAAACCATGGAGCTCACTGGGTGACTCTGGTTAATCACCATCTTTCAGATTAACATATCTCACAGGACTGTTGTTGAGAGGATATGCAGGGTGATTTTCATGTTATGCTTAGCTTCAGCTCCTGGGAAAAAGCTGAGATACAAATATACTATAACAATGTGCTACAGGTAGTCCTCGACTTACAACCATTTGTTTAGCGACCTTTCGAAGTTATGATGGCACTGAAAAAAGTGACTTATGACCAGTTCTCACACTTACGACTGTCGCAGCGTCCCCATGGTCACATGATCAAAATTCGGGTGCTTGGCAATCAACATGTATTTACAATGGTTGCAGCATCCTGGGGTCATGTGATCGCCATTTGCAACTTTCCCAGCTAGCTTCCGATAACCAAAATCAATGGGGAACTGCATGATTAACTTAATGACAGTGTAATTTGCTTAACGACTGCTGCAAAAAATGTCATAAAATTGGGTGTGGTCATGCGATGCCTTGCTTACAACCACACTGTTTAACAATGAATTTTCTAGTCCCTATTGTGGTTGCAAGTCGAGGACTATCTGTATTATACTAAAAATTAGCATTTGTTTATGGAAAGTTCAATACATGCTTATTCAGCCCAATCCTCACTCAGAAGCAATCCCACTTTAGTCAGTCAGATCTAACTTTTATAGGGTTGCAATCTTGTCCTACTTAATTTAATTGTGCAATAAAATTCACATTGTGTGAAAGACACTGAATAAACTGTGCCTCATTGGAGGGCAAAGGTCTTCTTGTCAAGTCTACAGTGTTCACAAAAACTGAGTACAATTTAGGAACCTAATCACAATTCCCAAGTGTGCAGTATGTCTGCACAAGTATTACAAGCACCTTGCTGTGTGTGGTCATGGGTGGCAGTGGGATTTAACAAAAGGATATGAGGGAGAGATTCTCAGTAGATCTTCTTCCACACGCATTCAAAATCATATCAGAGAACAAAGTGCTCAGAGCATTAGATGTCAAATGGTTTTGTCCAGTAACCTTCCATGTGCATAAAAA